GAGAGAGAGAGAGAGAGAGAGAAAGAGAGATGTTACGGATGGATTGAAATTCCCCTCAACAAAATATGACTTTAAGTATTTAGGAGGTGGAAGACCTTCCATTTAATCATGCCTGGTCCCCACGGGGAACAGACCCATGAAGTCACACACAGAGGCGTGAAAATTGCTCCAACAAAAGTTCAAAAATTCCAGTTGGGAAATGTAGCCTGGAGTGCTAGCAATGCAGCCCCACCAGAAAACCCCAAAGCTAAGAGAGAGAGAGAAATTCCTGATCCTTAACATTACAATAAAACAAAAAGTACAAACCTTCGAGCTTGCCAAAATCGTACACCCCACAGTCTTTTCCGTCAGCTAACGGTACCTCTATGCAAGCCCAGAAGAGTCCTCCGTAAAACTTTGACAACTTCATGTCCCCCAAGAGAGGGATAGTAAAGTCAAACAGCCCAAGAATGTTGTTTGCGCTGATCTGCAAAAACGATCCAAAATTCAGAAATAATGTTTGCCCTGCTGTAAGCTGACAAAATGTCTTTTTCATTTGGCGTTAGAATTTCTCATTTGCTAAATTTAAAGCTTGATCAATTACCCTACATGTGTGAACAAAATGTTACAAAATCAAAGTGAAAGTGACAAATTTTTAAATAAATTAGAATTCAAATTTCTGAAGAACGCTATTTCTAAATGCTTATGCTGGATTGGGCATGTTCTGAGAAGAGAACCAGACTCTATTGTGAAGACTACCCTCCACTGGACACCCGAAGGACATCCCAAGAGGGGCAGATCCAAAGTGACCTGGAGACGCACAGCAGAGTCTGAAATGAAGTCCTGGAACCATTCGTGGGGGACGTTGACCATGACGGCCCAAAACAGAGCTGGAGATCCTTTGTTGCTGCCCTAAACGCCAGATGACGTAACGGGTAGTAAGTAACGCAGACAAAAGAACTTCTTTTACTCGAAACTGCTGTGAATCAAAAAAGGTGTTTTGTCAGCTAACAGCTGTACATTTAAAGCGAGCTGCCACACATTTTTGCTCTTGCCGCAGGCAGATGCATTGTTACCAACCAAGAGCCCCAGTTCAAAAGTTAAACAGCAAAACCTTCCGAGGCAAAAACTTCGCTACCTCAGAATTACAAAGCTCTATCAGACATTTTTGGCAGTTTTGAGTTACTAAGAGGTCAGATACCAAATGTTCTATCAGCCCTATCAAAACCGAAAGATTATTCAGAGTCGTTATCAAGATATTCAAAGAAATAAATTCACAAAAGCTTGACATGTTGTGAAAATCTAACATTTTTATATCAATTTTCTCAAAGCCAGGTACTGAGCAGATAGAACTTTGTAATTCTAGGGTAGCGACTTGTGGTGTCAAGAACAAGCAAGCACGTAGGCCTCCGCTCACTAGGGCTGGATCCTGCTCGCCAAATTTGAGAATGGCGATTCGCGATTCAGTCGGCTTCAAAGAATCGCGAGTACGCGAGAGCTCGCGGAACTGTGGCGGAACACTGACTGAAACGGAACAGTGTCATATCAACGCCACTTGGCGAGCGCGAGTCCCACTCTTGTTGTTCCGCCATCCTCTGCGCCCCACACCCTTTGTTGCGCTGCTCTATCAGCAGACCTCAATTAGTGACCCCCATAAATTCACCCCCCCCCCCCCAACCCCATGATTCGCTAAAACAATGGCTCCATAAAATTCCTTCAGTCTATTGGTTGGACCCCGTTCATTTTGTTTTAATAGGGGTTTGGACTATTCCATCTTTTGTAAAATAAGGGGAGCCTTACTGTTCCGTTCCGTTCTTGCGCTCGTGACTCGACTCACGACCCAGCAGTAAGTTAAACAAGCTACAAGGTGGTGACAGCGACAGGGGAGGGAATCGGGAATCGTTGGGCGATACTGTTCCGCGTTCCGCTGAAGTGAATCGTGAATCGCGTTCCGCAGGCAAGAGTGGCGATTCAGTTCCGTTCTCACGCTCGCGACCCCGCTGTACCGCTCACAGCCGGCTCAGGTCACTTGCCGGTTCATGACATCACAAACGAGCAGCAACTCCATAAGCAAGCCGTAAATAAAGAAACCGTGGTGTATCTGGGGTCTAAATTTTTTTTAAAGACCCATTTAAAAGGCAATAACTCATTCAATATTGGACAGATTTCAACAAAACTTCAGAGATAAAATTCAACCAGGGGTACGTTACATTTGGCAATATGAAAAATATCCCCCAACATATGTCATATTCCAAAAAAAACCCCAACAAATTTTCACAAATTTATACCTAAATTAAAGGAAACCCTAAATTTTGCAACTTCTTAAAATCAACCATATTGTCATTATTGTTCTGCTTCAAACGGTCACCCTTTGGGCCTCGAAAAACATAATTAAACATAATTGATATTACGAAATAAACTCAAGGCAGGTTGTGGAAATTTCAATCTCCAGGTGTTTATTAATTCTCTCCTATACGCCACTGGAAATTATGAATAAACTTTCGGCATGTTTCCGTGGCGATTTTTCGGACCTTTTGTTCAACATTGAGTTTGAACTGTTTGATTGTCAGGGGGTTGTTTCTGTGGACTCCGTGAGATAAAAAAACCCAAAGGTAGGACTTGAAGGGGTTCAAGTCTGGGGGGGAATTGGGTAACCATGCATTCATTTGTAAAGTTTCAGCTTATAAGATGTTCCCCAAACCTTTCTTGCAACCATACAAGGAACACTCGTCACGTGGGGCGCCGCCCCATCCCATTGGAGCCAGGCCTCTTCAACATAACACATTTTCCTCCCTAAACTTCTCCAAAACCTTCTCAGCACACTGAGATTTGTGATGTGACTATTATGGTTTTAGAGTCCTTCCTCTGAAACCAGACCAGCCCGATCACTCCCCTGTTGCTGAACAGGAAAAAGTAAAATTTTGCGTTTTACCCAATTTTGGCCAAAATTTTGAAAACGTAATATTTTTTGAACACATATATTCTTCTTCATATTTACAAAAATTCATGTCTCCCTGGTTGAATTTTATTTGTTCAAAGTTTTGTTGAAATTAGTCTAGAGATGAGTAAGTTTTTGCCCTTTAAGTTTAAGTGGGTCCTCTTTTATTTTAGACACCCTGTACTTGTGCTCTATAGTCCGACCGCAAGAGATTCATTTGTGAGGCGACAAGGAGGAATCAGGCGCTTGTCATTTTTGGCGCATATAATATGGAGTTTATTCGTTTTATTTTAAAGGTTATTCATTTGCCTTGCTTTCGATGAAAAAAATATCCATTTATCTTGAACAGATTTTGTCAAGATATTTGCAAATGAAGGAGGTGTGGTCGCATGGTTTCAGAAGTAAAATATGCGAAAAAATGGTCGCCAAAATTGGGTGACTTCCAAAGCTTAAGAGTCCTTGGACACTGCAAATTTACATTTTTTGTGTATTCAATCAACGTTTGTCCATAAAATCCATACATGAAAGTGTTTTTGAATGGACACACAAGGTGTTGGGCCAAAAAACAAAAATCCTTTAAAAAAATGTCCAAACTCGCCGAAAAATGCCGGTTTCTCGGATTTCAATATTTTGATGAGCGCCTGATTTCACCACGATGCCTCACATTTATTCGAGGATATTCATTAGAAGTGAACATTTGTTTATAAATTCATGAAAAAAACTGTCTGCGGTCAGAACTCAACACTGATACACTGTATGTAATGCATGCATTAAATAATGATCACATAAATAAAGAGCATAGAGCTTGCTGTGGAGTAGGAATTTGCGCTCTATACAGCAGATACTCTCTATTTTTATTATTGTTTTATTAATATTATTTCTTTATTATTAATATAATTATTTTATTGTTATTAATATCATTAATATATCTCTGAACTTACACTTCCTTTTCTCCAGTATGGTGCAATGGACCCTGTCAGACACAACAGGAAACCAATGACAACCCCAGCGAAGCTCAAGCGCTGTGCATTGCTGTACTTCAGAAGAGCCATCTTAGCAACCTAGGAGGAGTCAGAAAAGAAAGGGGAAATTTTTTAAGTAGGTACTAAAAACATAGAGATCAGATTCCCATGCACAAATGTGAGGTATTATAATTGTGAAATCTCGCAAAAAATAATGAAAAAGAAGAAGCAAACACTTTTTTTCCACCAATTGTGTATTTTTGCTGAGGGTTTTTTTGTGTAGGGCTCAAAACCTTTTACGTCCATAAAAACCAATTCCAGCATGGATTTTATACTGTTTGATTCGATTGGGTTCTCGAAATAAAGTTACATCTAGCAGAAGCTACCATTTTGATCGCGCGCTGCTAAGGAATGTAAACTAACAGAGTCTGGATTTCCATTCATAAAAATGCCTACAATTCAGTTTCCCACTTGGGGCGAAAAATGAGAAAGAGAGCCATCTTCTTTCGTCTTGTAGCAGATTGCAGTGTTTAAGAAGGAAGCACAGGAACTTTGCTGTGAATTGGAAAACTTACCATCCTGTGAACGGAACAATAGTTACAGGCACCGCTGTGCTGGGGAACCAACACATACCTCGCGACATTGAAGGGTGGACTTAGTTAATGTGTGTCGCAGCGTGGTGGAATCAGGCACTTGTCAATTTTGAGGCATATTGAGTTATTGTATAACCTTGTTAAAGCCTTGGCTTTTAGTGATAAAAATATCTATCAATTTATCTTGAACAGAAGTCAATATGCGACTTGAGGAGGTGGGGATACCCTGGTATCAGACGTACAAGTAGCGAGAAAATGGCTGCAAAAGTTTGGTGACTTACAAAGCTGAATGTCCTTGGAGAATACAAATTCACAATTTCGCGTCTTTAACTTTTATCAGCGTTTTTTTCGTAAAATCTACACAATATGTGTTTTTAAAACAACATGACAAGGTGTTCAGCCCCAAAAGAACATTATTAGAAAATTACTCAACCGCCAGAAAAAAGCTGGTTTCTTTGATTTCATTTTTTGACGAACATCTGATTTCACCATATCGTCGGCGGAGAATTCTAACCGTCCAACTCCGATTTCATAAATTTTGCAGGAGAGACAAAAAACTGAATTCAAAGGCTCCTATGGGGATTTACTATCTTTAAATACGCTAGACTGGAATACATGACTCTACTTTTAAGTATTTAAAACAAAATTGCCGAAATTTTATTATTTTAAGTGCTAAACCAGAGTTATACGGATAGACCGCTCAGTTTTGGATTTCTAACCGTCCAAGTGTCGATGAAACGAATTGTTCGTTTAGAATTCTCCAACCCGGCGGGGACGCCACGCGCTTCGTTACGTCTAACCCAGTCATCGTGACACGTTAGTGTTACCGAACAACTCGAAATGACTACACCTGCAGTCAATCCAACAGGAAGCCTACTATAAAAGTTCTAATTAGTACTACATAGTACTGTAGATCTAGAATCTAACAATAATACTGTTTTATTATATTATCTAAAACTGAACGTCGCACTTTATTTCCACATAATTCTAATTAGGCAATGGGCTTGTCGACAGATTGAGTGCGTCGTTAAGGATTTACTATAAAGCTACTAGATCTATTTGATCCTCCATTCTCAAGGAAATTGTGAGAAGGATTGGTTTCTTGTCTAGCTACAAGAGAGAGAGAGAGAGAGAGAGAGAGAGAGAGAGAGAGAGATCTAGAATCTATAGCCTTTTTTTACTTTTAAGGCTGTAGTTATTCGCACAGGGTGTGTGAATAATATTATAATGGAATTGTATTCGCACAGGGTGTGTGAATACTGTGAATACTGTGAAATTTTATTCGCACAGGGTGTGTGAAAACTAGATTCTATGAAATTATATTCCCGCAGGGTGAGTGAATACTACAAAATAATATTATTGGCACAGGGCGTTTCAAAAGAAGGATGGAAATGTGTGTGTGTGTGTGTGTGTGTGTGTGTGTGTGTGTGTGTGTGTGAGAGAGAGAGAGAGAGAGAGAGAGAGAGAGAGAGAGAGAGAGAGAGAGAGAGAGAGAGAGAGAGAGAGAGAGAGAGAGAGATGAGTGCATGCTTAACCCTAAAACTGAAAGAAGTATGTCATCTGATGCAAAGTTATTTTAACATTTAAAGAGTGTGACAAACGAGGTCCAAAATCAGCATAGGCTCGAGTCTCAACCCTGTGCTAATAATTTCTTATTCGCACTCCCGGTGTGAATAATATTAATTCTTATAGGTAGATCTAGCGTCAATTGCCACCGAGTGATGCAGTGGCAATTGACAAAAATTGACTTTTTGTCAATTGCCACCGAGTGAAGCGGTGTCAAGTCTGAAAACAACACCATCTTTAGCATTATACATAATGTGTGTCTAATGGGTCAATTTGTTCCCAACTAATTTCATTGGACGAGCATCTTGTCTAGAGCTACGGCTACGGTACCAACTTGGCGTGTTTTCAATGAGACGTAGGCCTAGATCTAGGCTAGCCTTAGCCTACACTTCGGTGTAGAACCAACACAGGCAATTCTAGACTAGATTTAGAAGTAGATATCTAGATTCTATATATCTAGATCTAGATCTAGAAGGTCACAAACGCACACAAACTACTGAAGCAGAAATTCACGTTATATCGGGGAACATAAATCGGGGGACAGGGGTCAGGAAAAGACACACACACACACTCACTCACTCACACACACACAAACATACACACAAACACACACACACAGATGGACAGAGAGGCGAACGCACAACACCAAGCACTCGAGCACAATAAGCTAGATCTAGATCTACCCACCAACGCGAAAGAGCTCCAATTTACTCGGTGGCAATTGACAAAAAGTCAATTTTTGTCAATTGCCACCGCGTCACTCGGTGGCAATTGACACTACTATTCTTATATATGCGCACACCTTGTGTGAATAATCACTTCCTCCTACTTTTAAATAAGACTGAGCTCTCTAGATTTCCACGTCTATAGAGGAAGACAAAGTAAAATAGATTTACCAGGAGGAGAACAACAGCTCAAGTTGTCAGGTCTAGATCTACGTTGCAAAAACAAACTTTGAAAAACTGTGAGATCACCGTGTCGACAGTAGGCCTAGATCTAGATTCTAGATCTGAAACTGCAAGTGGTCTCGTCACAAAGACTGCTGTTTAAGATATGCGCGATAGACTTGCGCAGTGGCAAGAGATTAGCCTAAAACTGAAACTGAAACCGCCAGAGGGAAAAGGAGGAAAGGGGGGGGGGGTACAAGGAGGAGGCTTTTTTCCGGGAACTCCTGTCCTTCCGCGTGTTCCACGAATCAATCGAAGTCGAAGTAGCGGGTGTAGGAAAAGTGCTGGTGATTGGAGGTTGAGATTGCTGATACACATAGAGTTATCTCCTTTTAAACTAGAGTCAGAGACTCTTAACTTAAATATAGGCTATTGTTTATAATTAAATACTCTCTGCTAGAGTCCGTACGAGGTCATGTGACACGGAAACTCGGAAACTTTTGAGTTTGTTGGCGGTCATTATTCAGTTGGCGAAAACGTTTATTTACAAGTGAGTGCGCGTGTCTCTGCTCTTACGCTTGATTCTAACGTTATGTTAAGTGATTCTCTTAAAAGTTCAAGCATGTGAAACCTCTAGATCTAGATCTAGTCCCTTTCTGGATTAACGTCTTATTGGGTCCAATCGTGTATACATTATATACATAGCCGCTTGAAGCTGTGCTTAGAAAGCACAGTTGAGTATGCATTATCACATGTACGCAGATCAGGGGCGGCTCCTGGGGCTAAAAAGTGGGCGTGCACAATTATTAATGCTATCACAAGCTGAAGATAGCCAAGGGCATAGTAAATGGGATGGTGTATAATTTTAGGATCTTTGGGTTTGTGAGGGAGGACTTCGTGCTTTTATTTTCACTCCTTTTTCTTGTCGCATTGATTTCTATAACTAAATCTGTTTGTTAGCTAAACATCAATTTCGTTCATCTTGCATTGGAACTGAACACTCAAGTACCCAGTAATAACTTACTTTCACCACTCCACAACAAAACCATTCAAAGACACAACTCATAGGACGGTGACTTAAGTATGTCACGCTCACCTCTCTCGGGTTCACGGCCACAAAATCATTTAAAATAGCCTAGTGGCAAGACATTGAATCAATCAGAATTCGCTTGAGCACTATGCTGGATTGCTCCGAGGCTCACAAAATTTTGGCATAGAATAGTGTATAGTCTATGGCGTTTATTTTTAGACTGCCTACTGTGGGCTATGTTTCGGCACTATTCGGCAGGAGCACATTTGAGATGTGCCGACTTATTAATATTAATGTACCGCCAAACTCGCTACGAGTGTCGTCATCGCTTGGGTTGTCCCAAAGAGCGATTTATCAGTCTGGCTATCATTGTTGAATCTCCTATTATGTTTAGTTAAAGCGCTTTGGCTTTGTTTTGCGGCGCTATAGACACAGAAATGACAGTTACGGCGCCAGCGAGGACCTTGTTTTGATATAATATTTGACTAGTATTTGTTTCTGGCGTCTTTGATTTTATTATCGTGGGTGCTTTACGTAAAAGAACAATAAAAAATTCTGGGCGGCACTGCACGACCGTGCTCTATGGACGAACCGCGCCTGACGCAGATGATACACAGTTATAAATCTCTTCCACCACCGGATGTTAAAACATTGCCTGCCACCATGGGTATGTGCATTGATAATGTCAAGAACTGGATGATTGATAATAAACTCCAGCTTAATGAAGATAATACTGAAACTCGTTTATGTAACCCAAAGAAAAGCCATATCCCCACAGACGTCGAGATCTAGATCCATTTGGGGTTCCCATGACACCCACATCTTTTCATACTTCTTTTTAAAAGTTCTATAGGCCCTATACACTTTGATTCGGTCAAAAAGAAATAAACCACTTCGTAGATAAAGTGCTGGTGAAGAAATAAAGGGGTTTATTTTCTTCTTTGATTTCAAGCCTAGATCTAGAACGCTGTATTATTGCTATTTAGTAACCTAGACAGTACGCCACGGCGCCCATGTAAAAAAAAAAAAAAAAAGTAACAAGGACCAAGCCTCGCCTATCGCGTAAGAGGGAGAGAGAAAACATGCCCAGCCCGCTGGTTTAGCTTGAATTCCTTCACACAGCTCGCCAACTGAAGCATGGCGGACGCTGCTGTCGAATGTGGCCATCGCGCAGCAAGGCGAGAGAGGGGCGTACTGCATCTAGAGCCTATAGTGTATGGCTTTTTCTGGGAACTTCTGTCTTTCTTTCTGCTTGTTCCACGAATCAATTGAAGTGGCGGGTGTAGGAGAAGTGCTGGTGATTGGAGATTGAGATTGCCGATAGGTAGGCCTAGATATATAGTAGACTAGATCTAGTGGTCTGTGAATTGATCTTAGTTTAGATGTAGATCTAGTTTAGTTAGAGTTTTACGGCGCTCGCAACTGCATACGGTCATGTGGGCGCGCAAAACACGATTTGGTTGCATTCACAACAGTTCACAGCACTGCTTGACTTTTTTTCGATGAAAATGTTTAAAATTCGTGGTGAAGAAATTTTTTAAGTTCAAAAGAACATTTTAAATATACGTTTTTCACAATTTATCGTAAAGGCGAATTATAAGGTAATATGAGCGCGCAAAACAGGTCAGTTGTTTTCACGTTACTTCACTGCACACCTTGCCTTGGTTTTATTTTGTAAGTCATGGTTGAAGTATTTCAAAATGCATAGTAAAAAAAAAGTAGATTTATAAAAGCATTAATTTACGACACTGTTAACATTTTTCAAATTTTGTTGACAAACGCTTCGAGACGCCAAGCAAAATATTTGGTAACGATCCTCGGCTTATTTTTCGCTCGCATTATAACGACTTTCCGATAGCGAAGTGGCTATTCGGACTAGAGTCCGAACAGCCGCTGGAGGCTATTCGGACTCAAATTCCAGTGCGCGAGCGCTATCAGGCGCAATCACCGGTTGTACCGTAAGCGAGGTCTATACTCGAGTCCGAATAGTCTCCCGTTGTTATTCAGACTTTTAACTACTGGTAGCATAGTATTACACTACAAGCATTTCATAAGGGATCTCAGTCCTTATAAGACAGCCCTCTCTCTCTCTCTCTCTCTCTCTCTCTCTCTCTCTCTCTCTCTCTCTCTCTCTCTCTCTCTCTCTCTCTCTCTCTCTATCTATCTATCTATCCCTCTTCCCCCAACCTTCTCTCTGCCTGTCTGTCTGTCT